GGGGGGGGGAGGAACAGCCACAAGCGCGAATACTAATAATAAAATACTATATTATGCAGCTCTAGTCCTGCTGCAATTTGTTTTTGGAGAATATGAGAGACAGCCAGGAGAGAGAGAGAGAGCGGAGACAGCCAGGAGAGAGTGAGGAGAGACAGCCAGGGGAGAGAGGAGAGACAGCCAGGAGAGAGATCGAGGAGAGACAGCCAGGAGAGACAGCCAGGGGAGAGAGGAGAGACAGCCAGGGGAGAGAGGAGAGACAGCCAGGAGAGACAGACAGAAGAGAGAGAGGAGACCCAGCCAGGAGAGAGTGAGGAGATACAGCCAGGAGAGAGATAGGAGAGACAGCCAGGGGAGAGAGAGGAGACCCAGCCAGGAGAGAGTGAAAAGAGACAGCCAGGAGAGAGAGAGGAGATACAGCCAGGAGAGAGAGAGGAGATACAGCCAGAGGAGAGAGAGGAGACCCAGCCAGAGGAGAGAGAGGAGACCCAGAGGGAGAGAGAGGAGAGACAGCCAGGGGAGAGAGAGGAGAGACAGCCAGGAGAGAGAGAGGAGAGACAGCCAGGGGAGAAAGAGGAGAGACAGCCAGGAGAGACAACCACTGAAGAACTTGGCAAATGGGCCAAATTATAAGCTGTCTATCACAATTTCATCAACGAGAACATGTTTGGGGACAATAAAGGAGAGCGCAGTCCTCAGGCACACTTACTGACAAGGAGACCTTCTGCAACTGAGCTGCAGGAACACCAGGGCCCCGTGGTTGCCTCTGACTGTCTGACATCTTGGACTGAGATTGGGGTATAGATGGGATCCTCCAGCGCAATGTTCTATAGAACTCAAAACAAGCTCCACCGTCGTGTACGCCGCCATTTATGTTACACTGCGAATGGATCCTACATACAGGCGGAAGACGCAAAACGGCGCCAATCAATTTTCAATGGACCTGAATAATAATATTACTAGCGCACTGACTGAGGGGTCTATTTGTAAGCAATTTGCAGAGACGTGAACCCACCAAATCTCTGAACATTCGTTCTGTGCGAATAGAGGCAAAAACGAACGTTCTTTGTATATTACCGTATTTTTCGCTCCATAAGACGCACTTTTTTTCCCCTGAAAATAGGAGGGGGAAAATGTGCCTGCGTCTTATGGAGCGAATCCCGACGCCCGAGCAGTTTCGGGCGCCGGGCGAGTAGTAGGAGCCACTGCTCGTTTAATACGAGTGATCTAATGAGATAACTTGTATTAAAGCCGAGCAGCGGCGGCGACGATCGAGATCACCATAGAGCAGACGAAGAACGGACTTTCTTCGTCTGCTCTGTGTGATCGCTGAGACCGTGGCGCTGTAATCACAGCGCCACCTGTCTCAGCGGTCACTAACTGCAGCTTCTGTGACAGAAGCTACGGTCTGTCGAGTGCTCCATAAGGCGCGCCGGACCTCCCTGCGTCCTATGGTCCCGTGCGTCTTATGGACCGCAAAATACGGTATTTACTTTTCAGCTCAAATGTTATGGGATGTAATACCGCATTGTGGCCACTAGATGGAGCTGATGGGTATCAGTATTTAAAGGAGAAGTATTGGGAGAGCAAAATGTATTCTTCCCAATACTTAGAGCCGGCGTGGGGCGCTGCAGCTGTCACATGACCGGCTCTATAGATGGAGAGTTGGGGCGCTCAGCTCATTGCCTTCTCCCTGCAGAGAGCGGCGACTGCCAGTCACCTCCTCCAGGGGGATTCCCCCCTCCCCCAATGCTCATTGGCGGGACAGGAAGGCGAGGGGGCGGACACAGCTGACTGTGGCTCTAGAGGGGCAGAGCCAGATGTCCATAAGGCAGAGGGGTGGCCCCCCGACAATGTTGCCAGGATCCTTCCCGGCTGCAGTTGCGGCTCTGCGCTGTCAGCATATAGCAGCCAGTAGCCCGCTACATCACAGGAGGACATTTGTACAAAAATACTGTATAATAATAATAGTAAAAAAAAAAAGTAATAATAATAATACTGATGATATGATAATAATAATAATAAATAAATAAATAATAATAGTGATTTTGGCGCGCTGGCCTCGGTGACATCTTTGTTGCGATTTCACATAATGAAAAGAAAATGTTTCCATGAAAGGAATTGGACTTCTTTATCTCTTTATTTGGAGAGAAGTGGACGTCCCCTCTAAGCGCGGCGCGCACACACGTGTTGCAGATGCGTCGGTGTGGGTGACGTTGTGCAGGACTCCCGGGTCCCGGTCGGGGGGTGTGGTGGTCCCGGTGTGGGGGGATGATGGACCCGGCGGTGTAGAGGGGAGTGTGCGGCCGATCTCCTCCTCACCATACTACGCTCCCTCACTGCGGGCGCTATATACCTCTGTGTGTGACCCTCGCTGGTGACAATGACGAGCTGGCGGCGCTGAGCGCCGTGTACAGGAAATGCCGGGAGGGACCAGCAGAGGGAGAGAGACACTCTGTGTGTGTGTGTGTGTGTGTGTGTGTGTGCGACACACCATGTCATCCTGTGTGTGTGGCCGGTGACACCCTGACTCTGCGTGTCACACATCCAGTGTCAGAGAATGCCGCACACCCCGACCCGGGAGCACCATGCACAGGTACGGGGGTCTGCGGGGGAGGGGAGGTCACTCGTGTTGGGTGTCTTTGTGTCGCTCGCTCCTCTCTTTTGTGTTCTTCTCATTGTTACAATGTTGTTGTTGTTGTTGTATCCTTTATTGTAACATATTCCGGGATCTGACCATACACTGTATGATCTGATTGTACCGGCTGCTGTCAGCTCGCCGCACACGATACAATGTGATTGTACGATCTCCTGTAAGCTCGCCGCACGCGATACAATGTGATTGTACGGCTCGCCGCACACGATACAATGTGATTGTACGATCTCCTGTAAGCTCGCCCCACACGATACAATGTGATTGTACGATCTCCTGTAAGCGTGCCGCACACGATACAATGTGATTGTACAATCCGCTTTAGATCTGCCGACAACCATGGAGCGCCAGGACCGGCCGGATTGGACACAAGTGAAGCGGATGGGTTTTGTAGTTCATCATATTTCATCGTCTCTGGCGGTACAAAGATTGCGCCGTGCGTGGGGTGATTCCCGGGGGCATACACATTACATTCTCTGTACAATCAATGCCGTGTAATGTGAGGACGTCATCCAACCAATCAATCTGCACGCAGTCCGGCCGGTCCCGGCACTACAGAGATAGAAAGCAGATTGTACAATCAGATTGCAGCCTGTGTGGTGAGGTTGAAGGAGATTGTACAATGTATGGTCACGTTTAGGGCCCATGTAGGTTATGCTCCTTATACATGTGTGTGCGTTGTGTGGGGCAGTGTGGTGCGTTGTGTAGGGGGCAGTGTGGTGCGTTGTGTAGGGGGCGGTGTGGTGCGTTGTGTAGGGGACGGTGTGGTGCGTTGTGTAGGAGTGAGGTCAGGTACTGAGGTTGGAGGAGAAGGCCGGGCTCGCAGTCTCCGCTCTAATTCATCCCAAAGGTGTTCTATGGGGTTGAGGTCAGGACTCTGTGCGGCCAGTCACGTTCCTCCCCCCCCCAAACTCCCCCATCCATGTCTTTATGGACCTTGCTTTGTGCACTGGTGCGCAGTCATGTTGGAACAGGAAGGGGCTGTCCCTTGGCACAATGCAGTCAGGCAAGTACCGTTCCCCTGGCAACCGCCAAACCCAGACACGTCCATCGGATTGCCAGACAGAGAAGCGTGATTGGTCACTCCAGAGAACACGCCTCCCCTTCTCTAGAGTCCAGTGGCGGCGCGCTTTACACCACGGCATCCCACGCTTTGCATTGCACTTGGTGATGTGCGGCCTGGATGCAGCTGCTCGGCCATGGAAACCCATTCCATGAAGCTCTCTATGCACTGTTGTTGCACCAATCTGAAGGCCGCATGGAGTTTGGAGGTCTGTAGCTATTGACTCTGCAGACAATCGGCGACTTCTGCGCACTGTGCGCTTCAGCATGAGCTGACCCCGCCCTGTCATGTGACGTGGCCGACCACTTCCTGGCTGAGTTGCTGTTGTTCCCAGTTGCTTCCACTTTGTTATAATCCCAGTAACAGGTGACCGCGGAATATTCAGTAGCCAGGAAATGTCACGGATCACCTGAATCCAATGATTTGGAGGGGCGTCCCAATACTTTTGGCAATATAGTGTATATAGAGGAATCAGGACCTCCTTCCTCCTGGAATCATCTGAAATAAGCCCCCCAAATCTCTCCCTCTGTAGTTCTTGGTAACAGTGTACCCCCCATATACTGTAGAAATATAAGGCACGCTATCTCCAAACACATCCATGTTACACTACACCAAAAGGACTGAACATTTTTCTGGTAATGATGTCGCCCCGGCTGTGAATGAGCCTTTGTTCAGGAGACGCGGGGTCTCAGTTATCCGCTGAAACCAGCAGAAAAAAAATGGCATATGTCAAAAACGTACGAGAGCGGAATGTCATTGTAACGCACACGCATGTGCTGGACTACAGCTGAATACACTGTGATATCTTCCACACTTCCTGTACTCCATTTTAAAGTGTATCTAAGGACAAACATATCATATATTGCAGCGTGCCGGCTTAGCTTGCGGTGGCTGCATTAGATCTCATATTCACATGTCCAAAACAAACAAACAATTGGGTTAATAAAGCTTTTCAAACGCTTTGCATGACAAACGCCCCTTGTATCTGAAGTGCAAACAAACCTATAGTGCAGGGGGCGCCCACAATTTTTCGTCTGGAGATCTACTTTTCAAGTGATGAGATCAATCTAATATCTACGAAAAAACACCTGCGTTCAGGGGCGGGAGGGGGCGTGGCGGTGCATTGGAGTCAATGGCACCGCAGCCACGTCCCCCGCCCGCACCCTGAACGCAGGTGTTTTTTCGTAGATATTAGATTGACATTGGTGCCTGCGTTCCGGTCCAGTGCGATCTGCAGAAATGCTGCAAGCACTGTTTTCGCAGATCGCATTGGACTGGAACGCAGGTACTAATGTGCGGAAGGTCGCACTGCGGGCGGAGGGCATGCCTGCGGTGCGATCGACTTCAATGCAACCCCACGCCCCCTCCCGCCCCTGAACGCAGGGAGAGGGCCGACTTGCTTTCCAGTGCATTCTAGAGGCCAAACACTCTGGAACTTTGTGGTGTGAACCGGCTCTCTCTCTTGGCTGTCTCTTTTCTCTGTCCTCGCTCTCTCCCCTGTTTCTATCTTCTGTCTCTCTTCTCTCACTTTCTCTGCTGTCTCTTCTCTCACTTTCTCTGCTGTCTCTTCTCTCACTTTCTCTGCTGTCTCTTCTCTCACTTTCTCTGCTGTCTCTTCTCTCACTTTCTCTGCTGTCTCTTCTCTCACTTTCTCTGCTGTCTCTTCTCTCACTTTCTCTGCTGTCTCTTCTCTCACTTTCTCTGCTGTCTCTTCTCTCACTTTCTCTGCTGTCTCTTCTCTCACTTTCTCTGCTGTCTCTTCTCTCACTTTCTCTGCTGTCTCTTCTCTCACTTTCTCTGCTGTCTCTTCTCTCACTTTCTCTGCTGTCTCTTCTCTCACTTTCTCTGCTGTCTCTTCTCTCACTTTCTCTGCTGTCTCTTCTCTCACTTTCTCTGCTGTCTCTTCTCTCACTTTCTCTGCTGTCTCTTCTCTCACTTTCTCTGCTGTCTCTTCTCTCACTTTCTCTGCTGTCTCTTCTCTCACTTTCTCTGCTGTCTCTTCTCTCACTTTCTCTGCTGTCTCTTCTCTCACTTTCTCTGCTGTCTCTTCTCTCACTTTCTCTGCTGTCTCTTCTCTCACTTTCTCTGCTGTCTCTTCTCTCACTTTCTCTGCTGTCTCTTCTCTCACTTTCTCTGCTGTCTCTTCTCTCACTTTCTCTGCTGTCTCTTCTCTCACTTTCTCTGCTGTCTCTTCTCTCACTTTCTCTGCTGTCTCTTCTCTCACTTTCTCTGCTGTCTCTTCTCTCACTTTCTCTGCTGTCTCTTCTCTCACTTTCTCTGCTGTCTCTTCTCTCACTTTCTCTGCTGTCTCTTCTCTCACTTTCTCTGCTGTCTCTTCTCTCACTTTCTCTGCTGTCTCTTCTCTCACTTTCTCTGCTGTCTCTTCTCTCACTTTCTCTGCTGTCTCTTCTCTCACTTTCTCTGCTGTCTCTTCTCTCACTTTCTCTGCTGTCTCTTCTCTCACTTTCTCTGCTGTCTCTTCTCTCACTTTCTCTGCTGTCTCTTCTCTCACTTTCTCTGCTGTCTCTTCTCTCACTTTCTCTGCTGTCTCTTCTCTCACTTTCTCTGCTGTCTCTTCTCTCACTTTCTCTGCTGTCTCTTCTCTCACTTTCTCTGCTGTCTCTTCTCTCACTTTCTCTGCTGTCTCTTCTCTCACTTTCTCTGCTGTCTCTTCTCTCACTTTCTCTGCTGTCTCTTCTCTCACTTTCTCTGCTGTCTCTTCTCTCACTTTCTCTGCTGTCTCTTCTCTCACTTTCTCTGCTGTCTCTTCTCTCACTTTCTCTGCTGTCTCTTCTCTCACTTTCTCTGCTGTCTCTTCTCTCACTTTCTCTGCTGTCTCTTCTCTCACTTTCTCTGCTGTCTCTTCTCTCACTTTCTCTGCTGTCTCTTCTCTCACTTTCTCTGCTGTCTCTTCTCTCACTTTCTCTGCTGTCTCTTCTCTCACTTTCTCTGCTGTCTCTTCTCTCACTTTCTCTGCTGTCTCTTCTCTCACTTTCTCTGCTGTCTCTTCTCTCACTTTCTCTGCTGTCTCTTCTCTCACTTTCTCTGCTGTCTCTTCTCTCACTTTCTCTGCTGTCTCTTCTCTCACTTTCTCTGCTGTCTCTTCTCTCACTTTCTCTGCTGTCTCTTCTCTCACTTTCTCTGCTGTCTCTTCTCTCACTTTCTCTGCTGTCTCTTCTCTCACTTTCTCTGCTGTCTCTTCTCTCACTTTCTCTGCTGTCTCTTCTCTCACTTTCTCTGCTGTCTCTTCTCTCTCTCTGCTGTCTCTTCTCTCTTTCTGCTGTCTCTCTTCTCTCTTTCTGCTATCTCTCTTTCTGCTGTGTCTCTTCTCTCTTTCTGCTGTCTCTCTTCTCTCTCTGCTGTCTCTCTGCTGTCTCTCTTCTCTCTGCTGTCTCTCTTCTCTCTCTCTCTCCTGTCTCTTCTCTCTCTTTCTGCTGTCTCTCTTCTCTCTCTCTCTCCTGTCTCTTCTCTCTCTTTCTGCTGTCTCTCTTCTCTCTCTCTCTCCTGTCTCTTCTCTCTCTTTCTGCTGTCTCTCTTCTCTCTCTCTCTCCTGTCTCTTCTCTCTCTTTCTGCTGTCTCTCTTCTCTCTCTCTCTCCTGTCTCTTCTCTCTCTTTCTGCTGTCTCTCTTCTCTCTCTCTCTCCTGTCTCTTCTCTCTCTTTCTGCTGTCTCTCTTCTCTCTCTCTCTCCTGTCTCTTCTCTCTCTTTCTGCTGTCTCTCTTCTCTCTCTCTCTCCTGTCTCTTCTCTCTCTTTCTGCTGTCTCTCTTCTCTCTCTCTCTCCTGTCTCTTCTCTCTCTTTCTGCTGTCTCTCTTCTCTCTCTCTCTCCTGTCTCTTCTCTCTCTTTCTGCTGTCTCTCTTCTCTCTCTCTCTCCTGTCTCT